AACAGAAGGGAATAGAATGCAGAAATAGACTCACACAAAATATAGTCAACTGGGGTGTCTTTTGTTTTTTACAAAGGTACAAAGGCGGAGTGCCTGGACGGTGCAGTAGGTTAAGCATTCGACTCTTGATCTACTCAGGTCACGATCTTGTGGTTTGTGAGTTCAAGCCCCGCATCGGGCTGTGTGCTCATGGCACCAAGACTGCTTGGGATCCTGTCTCCCCCCTTTTTTTTTCCAATACAAGATTTTTATTTTTTTAATTTGTTAATTTTTATTTATTTTTTTTCCTTCTTCTAAAATTTATTTTTTAATTTACATCCAAGTTAGTTAGCACATGGTGCAACAATGATTTCAGAAGTAGATTCCTTACTGCCCCTTACCCATTTAGTTCATCCCCCATCCCACGACCCCTCCAGTGACCCTCTGTTTGTTCTCGTATTTAAGAGTCTCTTATGTTTTGTACCCCCCCATTTTTATATTATTTTGTCTTCCCTTCCCTTATGTCCATCTGTTTTGTCTCTTAAAGTCCTCATATGAATGAAGTCATTTGATATTTGTCTTTCTCTGACTAATGTCGCTTAGCATAATACCCTCCAGTTCCATCCACGTAGTTGCAAATGGCAAGATGTCATTCTTTTTGATTGCCGAGTAATACTCCATTGTATATATATACCACATCTTCTTTATCCATTCATCCATCGATGGACATTTGGGCTCTTTCCATACTTTGGCTACTGTTGATAGTGCTGCTATAAACATGGGGGTGCACGTGTCCCTTCGAAACAGCACACCTGTATTCTTTGGATAAATGCCTACTAGGGCAATTGCTGGGTCATAGAATAGTTCTATTTTTAATTTTTTGAGGCGCCTCCATACTGTTTTCCAGAGTGGCTGCACCAGTTTGCATTCCCACCAGCAGCGCAAGAGAGAGCCTCTTTCTCCGCATCCTCGCCAACATCCGCTGTTGCCTGAGTTGTTAATGTTAGCCATTCTGACAGGCATGAGGTGGTATCTCCTTGTGGTTTTGATTTGTATTTCTCTGATGATGAGTGATGTGGAGCATCTTTTCATGTGTCTGTTAGCCATCTGGATGTCTTCTTCGGAAAAGTGTCTCTTCATGTCTTGTGTCATGCACTACTAGGTATTTATCCTAAAGATATAAAGATGCTTGATTCAAAGGGGCACGTGCTGAATGTTTACAGCAGAGCTATTGACAATAGCCAAAGAGCCCAAATGTCCATCTACTGATGAATGGATAAAGAAGATGTGATAGGTAGGTAGGTAGATAGATAGATAGATAGATAGATAGATAGATAGATAGATAGATATACAATGGAATACCACTCGGTAATCAAAAAGAATGAAATCTTGCCATTTGCAACAGCGTGGATGGAACCAGAGTGTATTATGCTAAACGAAATTAGCCAGGCAAAGAAAGATAAATATCATATGATTTCACTCATATGTGGAATTCAAGAAACAAAACAGATGCACATAGGGGAAGGGAAGGAAAAATAAGATAAAAACAGAGAGGGGGGCAAACCATAAGAGACTGTTAAATACAGAGAGCAAACTGAGGGTTGATGGAGCAGAGGTGGGTGGGGGGACGGGCTAAATGGGTGATGGGCATTAAGGGGGGCACTTTCTGGGATGAGCACTGGGTGTTATATGTAAGTGACGAATGACCAGTTCTACTCCTGAAACCAGAACTACATCGTATGCTAACTAACTTGAATTTAAATAAATTTTTTGAGAATCCCAAAAAATAAAAACAAAAAAATATGCAAAAGATGTGAATAGGAACTTCACCAGAGAAGACGTACAGGTAGCAAGTAAGCACATGAAAAGGCGTTCAATGTCATAGGTCATGAGGTAACTGCAAATTGAAGTAATGAAATACCATGACACATTATGCTAAAATCCAAGAAGACTGACACCACTTGACAAGGATGCAGAGCAACAGAAACCCTTGCTCACTGCATGGAAGAATGCAAAATGGAGCAGTAACTTTGGAAGACAGGCAAGTTCTTTCAAGCTAACCATAATCTCATCATATGATCCAGAAACCATGCTCCTAGGCATTTATTCACCCAATTGAATTGAAAACCTACATCCACACAAACACCTGCACAAAGATGTTCAGCAACGTTTTTCACAACTGCCCAAACTTGGAAGAGACCAAGTTTTATGTAGCCGATATGTCAACGTCTTTATGCGATATGTAAACAAACTATGGCATGTTTGTATGTATGCGATATGTAAACAAACATACAATGGAATGTTATTCGGCGATGAAAAGAAAAGAGCTATTATGAAGCCATGAAAAGGCAGGGAGGAGCCTTCAATGCATATCCCCAAGTGAAAGAGGCAAATCTGAAAAGGCTACGCACTGTACGATTTCTATTATGTGACATCCTGGAAAAGGCAAAACCGTGGAGACATTAAACAGATCACTGGTTGCCAGGAGTTCAGGGCATTGGGGATGAACAGGTAGAGCACAGAGGATTTTTAGGGTGGTGAAGCTCTTCTGTACGATACTGTAATGGTAGATACATGACATGACTCATTTGTTAAAATCCATAGGCTGCTACCACACAACGAATGCGCTTCAGTGTAAACTGAGGATTTCAGTTCATGACAATGTATCAATACTGATTCATTAATTACAAGTGCGCCACACTAATGTAAGATGCAAATGATACGGGACAGTGTGTACAAAGCCTAGGGGTTCCGTGGGAAACCTCTGTATTAACTACTTGATGTTTCCGTCAACCTGCAGCTGTGTCATAAAATGAGGTCTATCTGTGTAAGAAAAGTTAAGCACTGGCATCAGCAAATCGCAAATTCACACCATCATCAGGCCCCAATGGGCTCCATTTGAATGGCTACAGTTATAAAGACTGATACTATCAAGTGTTATCAAGGATGTGGAGCAAATGGGAATCTCACACCTTGTGGACAAGAATGTAGAATGATCTAACCACTTGCGGAAACAGTTGGGCAATTTCTTTTTCCTTTCTTTTATTTTAAGTTAATTTTTTTTTGAAAGAGAGTGAGAGAGAAGGAGAGAGCTATGCCCTATAACCCAGAATTTCTCCTTCTAGGTGTTTACCTAAGAGAAATAAAAATTTATATCCACTCAAAGACTTGTCCACAAGGGTTCATTAGCAGCTTTATTTATAACAGCCAAATTTTGTGCTTTAATTCCTGTCTTCAATTACTTTCAGCAGTGTTCTGCTTCACTCAATAGTACCCCTGAACTGATATATTTTGGAGACGAAAGAAACTTTCTGCCCATAGGGGAGGAAGCAGTCCAGCCAGAGTAGGGGGTGCCCACAGGAGCTGAGAGAGGTTTCTAGGAAGTGGATAGGAAGCTTTCTGGTGAGAATATAAGACTTTTGAAGTGTCGGGGGGCTCTGTCTCAGTTCCTAGGACTGATGTAATGTGGTACCTATTCTGGACTGGGTGGCTTAAACAGCAGACATAGACCGTCACAGCTCTTGGAGGCAAGAGGTCTGAGATCGAGATGCTGACAGAGTTGGTCCTTCTGAAGGCTGCAGGAGAATCTCTTCTAGGCCTCTCTCCTTGGCTGATACATGGTCGTCTTCTCCCTGGGTCTATTCACGTCATGTTCCATCTGTATGTCTCTGTGACCAAATTCCAGCCTTTATGAGGAAGCTGGTCATATTAGATTAGAGCCCACCCTAATGACCTCATTTTAGTTGTTTACTCCTGTAAAGACCAGCGTCCATTCTGAGTTCCTGGGGGTTAGGGTTCCAACATACGAATTTGGGGGCTACAATTCAACCTCTAACAGACTTGAAACATTTCTTTTTAAGGTCATGTAGAAGATAAACAGATAATGGAAGAGTGGTCCCTGGCCTCTAAAGGACTTGAGGACATCCGGGCTCACCTCGGACTCACATTAACCAGACCCAGGACAGGGTGATGTTCTGCCCTGATCCTTCTGAAGATCGAGCCCAACTCAAATTTGAGTTTGCTCTCCAAATAAGGTCGGTGTTTCACTATTATTCTTTAATCGTCACAGGGAACAAAAATGAAACTTAGCTTCTCTGTTGAGAGTTTTCTCTGCTTGATTCTCAATTTTTCTCCCTCTTGAAATTCTTGGTAAAATACACTAACATTAAATTCACCATCTTAACCATTTTTAAGCACACCCCTCAGTGGTACTAAATGCATTTATATTTTTGCGTGACCGTCACTGTCATCTCTGGATCTCTTTTCGTCTTGCAATACTGAATATCTGTCCCCGTTGAACAAGAACTTCCAATGGCCCCTTCCCCTAAGCCCCTGGTAACCGATGTTTTTTGTTTTAATCTCCCCGTTCCCCCCACCCCCCAACTTCTGGTAAGCACCACTCTACTCCCTGTTACTATGAGTTGAGTGGGGCTTTTTGTTTGTTTCTGGTTTAAGATTCCACGTATAAATGAGCTCCTGCAGTATCTGTCTTTCTCTGTATGGCTTATCCACTCCAGGTTCATCCACACCGTCAAAAACGTTAACTTTTCCTTCCTCTTTAAGTCTGAATAATACCCCATTGTGCAGATATACCACATTTTCTTTATCCATTTATCTGTCACCAGACATTTAGCTTACTCCTCTCTCTTGGCTGTAGTGAAAACTGCTTCCATGAACATGGGGACACGGAGCTCTTCCCTCTTCGATTTTATTTCCTTTGGATATACACTCCAGTGGGACCGCTTGATCGGCTTTACAGAAGCTGGTGGTCTCAACAACACCGAGGACGCAGATGCTGTCATCTTCTTGCAGTGTAGGAAAAAGAAGCTTCGTGTCTCGCCCACATCGTCCAAGCTGTCATGAAGTGACGGATTAAAAAAAAGTCAGACTCCGGTACCCTTGCCCCCCCCCGCAGCGTCGAGCTGCCCCCACACACGGAAAGCGTGTCCGTGAAACAAGTTCTAAAATCACTTCTCCCAATCTGTGTACCTACAACTATGTTAGCTGATGTATAACCCAGGATGTCGCGAAACAAAAAGTTGAGAAGAGACGGCGTTAAAAAAGAGGTCCAGGTAACTCCAAGAACTTTGAAACTTAGCAGGGGGAAAAAATCTGTTACCCGAAACTGTATCTCGCCATCGCAGGAGTGTATGTGATTCTCCTGTCAAAGCAGAGAAACCAAGAAGCGTGTGTCAGCTGGGAAGAAAAACAGCAGTGGGTGGTGACGGAGGGGCATGCGAGGCACCTGCTCCAGAATCCCAGGAAGGGCCCCCCCCCCCCCATCCTTTGATATGACAAGTGGAAGCTTCCTCCGTTTCAGGTGCAGTGAAACGTAGCGGGCAGCTAGCTCCTCACCCGGGATCCGATCGCGGTCCCTGCACCACTCACAGCCAGGTGGCTGAAACGCCATTTGGGGAAGAGCAACAAAAGCCGCTCACGGGTGACGTGACACTAGGAGTCATCGATAAAACGTTCTCACCTCGTGTTGTTGCAACAGGTAACGACGTAGAGTGGAGTGACGTATTTCTTATCACCGTGGCACCAGACTTAACATCACCCGTCTAAGTTTCTTGGAGGGAAAGAGAAAAGCTTTGCTTTCAGGGTGCTGCTCACAAAGCACAATGGTCCAGGCCACATGTCCACAATGCAGGGAGCTCCGTGGGGCCAAAGCACAGCACTAATGAGCCCCGGGTCAAGAGGTCCCTCCTCATTCCAGAAGGGCCTTCAGCCACACTCTGCTCCTGGCGACAGATGGGCCCCTAACCTCAATTTCCTTTCATCTCACACGTGGGGGGCGAGGGGGACGGGTCTTGGCCACAGGAGGACCAATTCATAATAATGTTCAGTGACTCAGGGAATTAACCCTCCCATCGAAGACGTTACTGCATTGCTAGGCGCGTTTTGCACAGCAAATCTCCCTCGATGAGATTTGTGTACATCAAGGATCATTTGCCTGGTTTTCGTGTGAGTCCCTGCTTTCAAACGCCTCCTGGAAGCTCCCGGTGAAACCGTAAGAGTCCTCGTTCAGTCCCTCACCTATTTCTGCCGGTGTTGAACTCGGGCAAGACCCTAGGATTACTCGCCGCTGTAACGAACCGTGCAGAGCACCAGGTGTTCTGACTCCCTGCGTCAGCTTCTAGGGGGGCCCTATTCCAGGGTGCAGGGGGATGGGATAGGGGTTTCATGCTGGTTGCAGGGGTGGGTGGCCTCCAAGAAGAAATGGGCACATGCCCGCTCGGAACTGTTTTGTCTCTTGAAATGTTTTCATTGAATTCGCCTTAGCATCGCCAGAAATGTTACGTGGAGTCCAGGGATCCCAGGATTTTTTTCCTGCCCTGCTTTTAAGAAGTCATAAAGAATGACACCTGCACTTCAAACACCATTGGCGCTCTGGGCCTCTTCGAGCAATGATGTGTGCGGTAGAAAAATTATAAAGGAAGTGTTGAAAAAGAAACGTGACTATTTAAATGTCATTTATACTGAGCTCAGTAGCTGTTCAAGCCAATGTTTTGCTATTAAATTTCGTTCGAGATTCACAGAACCCACTATAAAATACACTTTCAGGAAAAATTAGACGAAACAAATTAGGGAGAGAAGTTACATAAAGAATGATTAGATTCTACTGTGTTCTCAGGTTTGCAAAAATGTTTTCACGTGACCTTCTAAAAGTTGGCAAATTTCGGTCAGAAAATAGAACATTTTCCTTCATTCCATGAAAGAGTGGTCTGGAATTCAGAGATGCCCTGTACCCCGGATTGTGATGAAGACAAAATTTCTGATGATCTTCTGTTTTGATAAACACTAAAAATAAAATCATCTTGTTGTATCGAATCGGCCATTGTCAAGAACCGATCGTTAAGAGAACTCTAAATAATGTGCAACAGGTCTCATTTTAAATTACGGAGAATGAGACCAACGTGGTGATTTTTTGTGAGTTACAAGTGCAAACTATGCATTTAGGAGAAACAATCCCGAAGGCACGGATAGCTTTGGGGTTAGCACGGGGCAACGGCTTTCCTCTACCGAGTCCTTTTCTTTTGTGAATTTAAAAAATGCTCAACAGGTGTTACTGAATTACACCTATCTAAGAACTACAGGGGCGCCTGGGTGGCTCAGTTGGTTAAGCATCCGACTTCGGCTCAGGTCATGATCTCGCGGTCCGTGAGTTCGAGCCCCGTGGCGGGCTCTGTGCTGACAGCTCGGAGCCCTGGAGCCTGTTTCAGATTCTGTGTCTCCCTCTCTCTCTGCCCCTCCCCCGTTCATGCTCTGTCTCTCCCTGTCTCAAAAATAAATAAACGTTAAAAAAATAAAATAAAATAAAAACTAAGAACTACATGTTGTTTTAAAATATAGTTTTCAGAATCCCCGATAAAGACCAAGAGTAAGTCTCTGCCCTCAGGCTTAAGGGAGAGGGTGGTACATATTTAGCCAGTGATTAATTGCTGGTTATCCGCGGAGCAATTACTTTAATTGAAACACCACTGTTTCGCTGGTGTTCAACCTCTACTAATTTAAGTTTCCAGGAAAAGACAGTTTGCTTTAAGTCCTTAAAGATGGGTCACGCTTCAGACAAAGACGACATTTTTAAAATGTTCCCCTCTCCTTGCAGCAGAGCCCCTGGGTGTTGTCTGGAATGGTCTTAGAGTGCTATTTAACTACTCTGAATATTTGACACCCAGGCTTTGTGGAAAACATTGTGATTCTTATCAACGAAGAGGCAATTAAAGGCAGTCCTTTGGAACCCAGATGGATCAGGGATCTTATCACACTCCCGCAATCACTGTCCTTTCCACCTGGGAAACAGATAACAGAAACTGTGCTGCGTGAGGCACACTAGCCTAACGTGATTGGAAATCAGGCAGACTCTGGCTTCTCCGGAGCTCTGCTCCCCCACAGGCTGAATTATAGCTCTCCTACCAGTCCCACGGCGCTGAATGATGTCATGGGATCTGCAGTTCAGCGAGATGAAAGGGATCAAGCAGAACCCGCTGGCACTAGGCAAAGCCTCCAACACACAATCCACAACACGGCTTGGGAACCGAAAAGGCTACGGATCCAGCCACTCAGCTCAAGCTTGGGAGAGCCACGGGTATCGCCTGGTTGCAAAGGGGAAGGGGGAAAAAAAAGAGAGAGAGAGAGAGGAAAACAACGTGATCCGTGTGAAACAAAAGAATTTGTGGACAAGGAGGGGAGGGCAACTACCTGCGGAAAGGGAACTTTCTTGATATCCATGCATATATATAAACTTAGCCCTGCCTTTGATGTTCTGCAACTGATCGCCGATCAGATTACGGCATTTCATCTCCCTGCTCGTCTGCCTTTGATCTGCATGGTTAATTTTATTTTCCTGGATTTGAAGTTTCGTCCGGGCTTGTGCTGACATACATTTTTGGGAAGGTAGCAGCACTTGGCACAGAAATGCTGCCACGGAGAAACTGAGTTGCCGAAAGGGTGAGTCCTGGAAAGAGTTCAGCACGTTTGCAGGTACAAATTTTATGTTTTGTCGTAGCTTTCACTTCACTTTTCCTGTGTGCTCTAAGGAAACGACGGCTTCAGTCAATTAAAAGCGGGCATTTCTCTGCTTGAATACCACATTGTGTTTCCTGGGTGTATCAGAGTAACTATGATTCTCCATGCCGTTTTTAGAGGTGATACAAAAGGGTTGGCAACGGGTCATGCAAACTGCACTTGGAAATGAGTTGTTCAAACAGGAGAAAACAGAGCGCTAACTTTAGCATACAACCCGCCTTCGGAGCCTGAGATCTGTAAGCTGTAATTGCGTTGAGTGTTTACAGGTTACTTTATTTAGTAAACAGGCCGAAGAACTTTCCTAGATGCCCCACGGCTTTCCTTATTTTCTTACCTAAAAGAGTATACTGCATCTTTGGCAAGACTGTTCCTTAGTTTATTTATTCTCTCACCTCCAAGACGTAAACCCATCAACTACATTTCCTTATGCAGTTTGCATCCTCAAGGGAACCACTGAAAAGGCATTCAAGTACGATTAAAGCCTTTTAGGTGTAAAACTGAAGGACTTTTAAACCAGAGAGGGTAAAGCTGTGCCAAGTTTTGTCTAAAAAATTCTCTAGTGATTTTCTGTAACCTTTGGAAATAGCACAAGCCTTGTTTACAGAAACGTTCCCGCCGTTGGTATTCCTAAATTAACATTTACTTTAAATTTATAGTGACAGCTGTTGCCAGTTAAAAGTTGCCAACTGTTTATGAAAACTATCTGAGTAATCAACAGTTGCCATGCTCCACACAGGTTTTAGTCAAATTCTCACTTTGGTTTATACTCCACTTGGCAAACCCAAAACATATCTTGCAGTGGGTGCCAAATTTGAAAGTTAACTGTTGTTTTTTGTCAGTTCAGTGATCACACACACACACACACACACACACGCACAACTCGCGCACACACACAGAGAACTCTTTACATGGAGAGGCAAGATTTTAATACAGTGCAAAAGAGTCTGTGTTCACATTAGTTCACTTTAGTGTTCTAGTCTTTATTTGGGTAAAATAATTATCATCACAATGGCATATTTTATGCTAGCTGAACCACAAAGAAATTATAAGTGATAAGATTAGTTATCCTTTAGTTTGAAATTCTGATGAAACAGGAAAGGTCTAATGAGCCTCATTTCATATGTAATTAATTTTTCAGAGCCAATTAATTTAATTACTTTCTAAACTTTCCTCCAGATATTAGAAGGAGGGTAATTAGCACTGTTTGTTTAATTTTAAAACTGTGATAACTGTTAAGAGGATATTATTTAAAACCATACTAAGCTGACTATATTTTAGAGATGTGTGGGTAAGAATTTAATCTAAGAGATTTAACTGTTGTTTTTTAGTCACGACGCCAGGAGAGGCATTTAAATTTTTGTTCTGCTGACAGTGTAACAAAGCCAGTTCAAAAATATCCTGGGGTATCAGTTTAGGTCGATTCTTTCAATTGTTTGCTGAAAAAAATCCTCTTTAAATCACAAAAGCAGTATTCATGTTCACATTCCAATAAAGAAAATTAAGCTTTTAAAGTAACCAGTGGAGAAGATGCCTGAAGAAATAACACACCGAGGAACTTGATCATTTAGTTTACATTTGGGATTTATAAAATTTCTTAAATGATTGCTTATTCTGCTAACAGGTTCATTTTAACAGATACATTTTAACAGATACAAACACTCCTCAGCACTAAACAAAAGGGAGAATCAGCGATTACCTGATTAATTTCGGCTTTGTAGAAAACTAGCTTGGGCAAGTCAAGTCCCTGAAAATCCACTTCGGTTTCTGAATTAATTCAGTTAATTGTTTACTTCTTGGGTCCTGGTTGAGAAATGAAACAGATTGTATTTGATTTTAAAAGGAAGATGGCTATTGCTGAGCTACAGGTATGGCGTCGAAAGGCATTTCTTAATTAATTGCCACATGATGATCTCAATCGTGACTTAAGTGGCCCTGATCCATAATACTTCCATGAACGACACCCTTGTATTGCATTTTTTTCAAAGCACTCTCCTATCTATTGCTTCAATGGCAGTGTTGTTACTGTAGAAGGACCAAGTCTTCAAAAGACTTTTCTAGTCCTGATTCGCTATGTGACCTTAAGAGAGTCACTTCACTACTCGTTTTTCTCCTGTGTGAAATGAGGGAGTTGACTATCTCGTTGTGAAATAAGCCGGTGGAATTTTTATAGCCATTTTGCAGATGAGCAGACTGAGATTAGAGAAAAGTTAACTTGACTCTCCTAACCAAGGTCACATGGCTGGTTTTTCAAGTCCTAATCCAGTGTTCTCTCTGTTTCACCACGCATCGTCTATTTTCTAACAACTGCACAACAAATTCAATGCACTATGTAGCTGAACAGAGAAAAATGTTAGTCTGAAAGGTAAAGAGTAAGATAGCCACTTCCTAATGGAGTATATATTTTTGTTTCCTCAATAGATGTCAGTTAGCTGAATTAGTCTGGTTATGTTCTACCTGTTCCTTTTGCTTCTGTATTTTTTTTTAACTTTGTTTTTTATTTATTTTTGAGACAGGGAGAGACAGAGCATGAACAGGGGAGGGTCAGAGAGAGGGAGACACAGAATCTGAAACAGGCTCCAGGCTCCGAGCTGTCAGCACAGAGCCCGACGCGGGGCTCAAACTCACGGACCGCGAGATCATGACCTGAGCCGAAGTCGGATGCTTAACCGACTGAGCCACCCAGGCGCCCCTGCTTCTGTATTTCTAAGCAGTCTGAACACATGCTGGACCATAATGTTTAAGATGATTTTTTTTTTTTTTTTTTTTGAGAGAGAGAGAGAGCGCGCACACGCAGGCAGGGGAGGGGCAGAGGGACAGGGAGAGAGAGAATCTTAAGAGAGAGAATCTCCATGCCCAGCAAAGAGCCTGACACAGGGCTCAATCTCACCACCGTGAGATCATGACCTGAGGGAAATCAAGAGTCAGACATGTAACCTCCTAAGCCCCCCAGGTGCCCCTAAAATAATTTTTATCAAAAGTCGAAGTCTTGGCGCAATGTGCAATTCTATATATTTGTGTGAGTCTGCCTGTGTATGTGTGCATATACAAGTGGGTCATCATAAAATCTTTATGTGTTTTCCAGGAATTTATATTTTCTGAGAAGATGTCCCTGAAAAGTTTAATAGTGAATGAAATGTCATTATTCGTTGAGGAGATTCCCTGTGGGATTTTTGTGAGATTTTACTTTGCAAATTTCATATGGCTTGTACATGATCTGTGTTCCATGCCACATTTGATTACATTAAGAATCCTTGAACAAGTTTTCTTTAACTCTTTCTGTTCCTTTTTTCCCTCAAGAAAGAAACATTTCTTGCGAATAAATTCAACTTATTGACTATAAAGCTTGAACGTAGATACTGCTCTTAAGGCCAAATAGCCATCCCCAAGTCTTCTCATCCTCCTAAAGTTTTCATATAAAGCTTTACAGATTATTATTCCATAACAGTCGCTAATATTTCTTAATTCACTAATTAATTAATTCACTGATACGTATTGAGGACTTGTGTGCCAGGCACTCTCACAGTGTTTTTTCAAACACTCTCTCATTTAAATTTATAATTGTCTCCTTCATGGTACAGATGAGGAAAGTGAGTCTCAGAGAGACTCATAGACAACATGTGCGAGATCACAAGGCTAATTAAGTGGCAGCACTTGAGTGTATCTGATTTCAGACCCTGGGTTCTTTTGTTCTAGGGCTGGACCGTTAATTGTTTCCATCACAAGAATTATATAGAACCAACTTGATTTTGCCCAAAAAACAGGTTCTGTAGTTTACTTTCTTTTGATATATTTTATTTTATTTTATTTTTAAACGTTTTTATTTATTTTTGAGACAGAGAGAGACAGAGCATGAGCAGGGGAGGGGAAGAGAGAGAGGGAGACACAGAATCTGAAGCAGGCTCCAGGCTCTGAGCTGTCAGCACAGAGCCCAACGCGGGGCTTGAACTCACAGACCGTGAGATCATGACCTGAGCCGAAGTCGGATGCTCAACCGACTGAGCCACCCAGGCGCCCCTCTTTTGATATATTTTATAAGAGCTATTAGAAATTTTTGATAGAGCTTTCCATCAGTTAGCCTAGAATCTATAGCTATAAAGGATCTCAAGACATAAACCATTCTTCCTCTGCTTCACTAGACAGAACTCAGACATCTGCCACCTGCTTGGTCAGACTCTCTTCTCTGTGATGGCAGAGACAGTCCAAGTCGCCCTGGAAAAATTAATAATTTGGTGCCCCCTTGATAGGATAATGCTTTATCATTTTGTCAGCCCAATTTAGAAAACTGGCCCTGAAAAGGAGGGCAGGGGAGGCTCCCCGATGGCAGTGCTTAATTTCCCCTCTACTGTCCCTCGCCATTCAGCGTCAGCCCCTGAATTGTTCCTCAAACCCACCCACTGGCTGGAATCACCACTGAGAAGTTACCAAGTCTCTCATCCTTAGACTGACAGGTGGTTTCACAGCATCCAGGGTGAGTTCAGTTTGCTCTTTGATGAAAAGAGGGAGGGAGAGCTGAGATGGGCAGGTGGGGCTTTCCAGCAACTTTATCAAACCATTCCTTCC